GGTCCATTGTGCTGCTATTTCTGCAGGGACAGAAGGAAAAACAGAGAAACAAGGGAGGCAGGACTCAATGGCCTCAGCCAGGCCAGCTCCTTCACACCCCCACCGACTGCTGCAGCCCATACTTCCACCGGGTTTTTCTGAGCCGGCATAGGACTGCTTTCTGCAAAATCGTTCTTGCATGGGTCTGGAATCTGACTTCACTGAGGTCGGAATGGCTTTAAGCCTCTGTTACGATCCTTGGACTTGAGGGACAAATGCCCCATTCATTCAGCACACCCTCCTCCAGGGCTGTGCACAGAGCTCTCTCAGAGGGAGGGCTGGGCACATGGAACCCACCCGTGGGTATCCTTTTCCCCCGTCAGGGCGGGAAGCTCCAAGAGCAGGGGCTGGGCCTCTGTGTCCGTCCCCAGCAGCCAGCTCAGGGCAGGCACACACAGGCACTTCGGGTGCTGAATGAATCTGCTGAAGTGGATCTGAGGTTTGGAGCCTCAAAGCATCTGGATGCAGCTCTAGAGAATCAGGTAGGACGAGCCGGGCAGTACATTCTAGCTCAAGGGAACTGAGAACGTAAAAGTGTTAGACTTCCCCGTGGAACTCCCAGAAACTGGCCAGGAGGTTGGTTCCTGGAGGGGTTCCCACAATGCTTTATCCCTGGCCCTTTGGGAACAGGGCAGCCCAAGAAGAATGTGATTAAGTGTTAAAAGGCACTAACGTCAAATAGATCTGGGTTCAAAGTAGAACTCCCAAGGCCTTGAATAAGTTAACCTCATCTATTATGCCTTAGTTTTCTAAACTATAAAATGGGGTAATAGGAATACCTCTCTGAAATTTATAGTGAAGATTATGGATATAATCTGTGTACAGCCCTTCGTACCATATCTGGCATGTGGTATTTACTATACAGTGGCCATTATTGTTGGTCTAGTAGTATTTCTATCACAATTGATGCTACTGCCTTACAGCATCCCTGATTCCTGCTACTTTCACCAAACCACGTGTGGCAGAAGGAAACCTTGTAATAACCCACACATAAGATCTGTTTTAGGGGTTGCAAATGGTGATTTCCATTAGGATTCAAGTGTTATGCAAAACAGGGTTTTCTCCTGCACACAGCACACGGAGGAGCTGTGAAGGTGCTGGAGGGCTGGGGAAGCCATCCAGGTGGAGGAAGAGAAGAGAGTGTTAAAGAGAGGAAGAGAAGTAGGGAGAAGGCAGGCCAGGGAGCCACTCAGGAATATGCCTGAGCCTAGCGATGGGCTCCCCACCCCCACCTCCATCCCATGTGGCTGAGAGCTTGAGAAAGTCAAAGCCAAAGAAGGAAGGGTGTTGGGTGTGTGGGAGCATTTACCTCTGGAGGACTTGCGGCGTGGGGAGTCCCCTTTCTGGAGCTTGCTAGAATGGGAAGCATAGATTGTGGGTAAGTGCTGCTCCCTCCTTCAAGAGCTGCCCCCACCCATGCCAGCGCAGAGTGGGTAGGTTACTACAGGCTCTGGCCCAGCACAGGGACTTGGCCAGGCCTGCCTGCAGGGTCGGATCTTCCAAGGAGAGAACAAGCAGGGAACAGCCCTCAGCTCAGTTGCCCCTGCATGGAGAGCCCTTTGTCTGGCAAAGTCCTAACCATTTTCCAAGGCCCAGCTTTAGGGCCCCTTCCCCTGTGAGACATTCCCCCTCCCCTGCCACCGCCCAACCCTGCCTGTCCTAAGCAGAGGTGGGTCATTGTCCACTGGTGCTCAAGCGTCTGCCACCCCACCCTGTCACTTATTCCCTTGTTTCCCTCTCCCCATGAGAACACGAGACAGGGACTGGGTCTAACTCATTCTACTATTGCGAGTGTCTGATGTGGTGAGTGCTAGTAAACACAGCAACTCCTGAGTGGCTGGGAATTAACCACTGAGAGACTCTTGGATTGGGTCCCACCTGTAACATGGGGCTGTCGGGGCCACTGAGGCTGAGATATAATGACTCCCAGGAGGTCCGGCAGACCCCTTGGAGGACAGAAGTCAGGTCCCATCAATAACTAAGGAGGATGGTTAAAAACGATTTCTAGTGAAGACTTTAAATAGTTCGGTGAAAACACCACCATTTGCCTTTGGACAAGATGCACCCAGAACCAGGACCTCAAGGAGACCATATATGCCCCTCATGCAGCCACGCAGCAAGGCCTTGCTTCTGGGTGCTCTCAGCTAATGGTTTCCGTACAAGGGGATGGCAGTGCAGGCCCCCATGACACCAGGCTGCTTCCTGGGCTGGATGCCTCTGCCGAATCCCCCAGAGGCCTCTGTTTGTTCCAGAGAAGCATGGGCCAGTGAAGGCCTTAGTCTGTGACCAAGGTTAGAGCCAAATGTACAAACAGTATGGGTGGGACTCAGTCGGGGGCTGGGTTAGGAGTCAGCTCAGTGTGCACAGGAATTGAAACTGCTGTACAGTCTCCCTCCAGCTGAAGTCTGACAGCTTCCTCATGGCCACACTGCAGCCTGAGGAGGTGGCACGCTGCCCCTCCCTGGGTCACTCACCCCCTGCACCCACGGGTGCTGCAGAACTTGGGCAGCGCTCAGCCTCTGCTTTGCATCTCGAACTAGGAGCTTGGAGATGAGGTCTTTGGCGTCACTGGAGATGTGTGCCCAGTCCTTGTCAGGAAACTCATACTTGCCTTCCTGGATGCTCTCAAACAGCTTGTTCTAGGCAAAGAAGATTCCTCTTGAGGTGACACTGGCCAGGCCTGGTCACTCTGTGCCCAACTGACTGCAACTGAAGCTCAGCGCGTGGCTGGGGTACACCACAGACTCCCCATACTTTCTCCTAAATCATCAAATGACACAGAATGCCCTTGGCAGGCAAATGGCTATGCTATCTGGCAGGCTGGTGGGCGATGCGTGGGAAATACCAACCATAGAACAAAGCCTGGATCCCCTGGCCCTTCACACAGGGCCTCCAGGAATGGGCTCCTGGCAACCTCTAAGTTCTCATCTCTCACCACAATCAGCCTTGCATGCTACCTTCTTCCCTCTACACACTCAAACCTCTGTGTCCTTGTAAACCCCGTGTCTTTGCTTGTGCTGTCCTACTTGTATTTCTTGCCCTTTTCCCCCTGAGGCCACACTCATCCTTTCAGACTCAGCTCAGGTATGATCTTCCCTAACTGGCTGGGCTAACTGCCCAATTATCTCTATTTCACCTGCTGGATGCTCCTGGACAAAAGAGGGAAGGGGCACTAGGTACCCCTTTCCAGATCAGGAACAATCCCCAAACCCAGTCCCGCTTGGCATCCCGCAACCCTGCTGGCCCCTAGCCCCGCTCCGCAGTGGGTCCTGGGACTGCGCTCACCTGGCACACCCTGCAGACCTCTCCCCGGTCCCAGCCACAGTCGGCCCCACAGTGACCTACAAAGGGGGGGTAGCCACTCAGCATGATGTAGAGGACCACGCCCAGGCTCCACAGGTCACAGCGCTTGTCGTAAAACGTGGCCTCGTCCGTGAAGACCTCCACCACCTCCGGGGCCATGTACTCTGCAGAGCCACACTGTGGGGGCCAGGTTGGGGAGGGGGAAGTGACAGAGAAGAGAGGCTTAGTCACAGGGAGAGGGATGGCAAAGAGCAGGATGTAATGGGGCTTGAGCAAAATGATAGAGCTGCAGAGCAAGAAGCTGTGAGGAAAGCCAGCCAGAGAGCTCGCCTGATGCCACCAACGCACTTAGAAAAGCTGGGCCAACTGAGCACTGGGAAACTGAGTCCTATCACCCCGTGATCCATGTGACCAGCTCCAGGTCACCTTCTCTTTTTGGGTCCTTCTCCAGTAAGCGGAGACCCTTGGTCAAGAAGCTCCAGGAATCGCTCTCTGCCTCAGCTCTCTATCCAGTCACTTAATGCGCAGGTACTTCCATGTATCAGAAGCACGGCTCTGGGGGAGGTCTGTGGAGATCGATTCATACAGCAAGGATTTCTTAAAGTGAAGTCCTGCCAAGCTTCCCTGCAAGCTTAGAGCAAGCACGCATAAGGATTTAGAATTAGGAGACCATCATAGCTAGGAGAACTCTTAGAACAAATCCAGTCTCCCTGCTTCTCCCATTTACAGATTGGAAAAACCAAGGCTAGAATGGGACAGGGATTTGTTTAAGCACATCAGTGGCAAAGCCTGGATCCAGGATTCCTTCCTCGCATCCCTGCATAGAAACTGCTAATAAAAATAAATAATGCTTTTTGTTCCCCTCTTCATTATTTCAGGTTCACCAAGAGATACCCCCCACCCCCCGCCACCTCCAACACACACACTAATTTGATGGAAAGATGGTAAGTGAAGAAAGGACATTTTCTCTTATTGGCAATTAGAGTTAATGAGTTAGAGAACAAGGTAGCTCAGTGTTGTAAAAGCTAATAAACATTTCTAATAATGTTGCTCAGAATAAGACATGGGCATAGTCAAATGCATGTCTTTAATAAAGGTTATTAGGAAAATTCACTTACAAAGCAAGCAAATCTCAAAAAGGATCATAATTATAGAATATTGTGTATGTACAGAGGTGTCTTAGGAAGAAGTAGCTCCCAGCAGCACCATCTGGGCATGAAGTGTGAAGTGAGAGAAGCAACAGAACAACTTAGCCGTGCGAGCCCGCATGCAGAGAGCCTGGAACCTCTCAGTTTTTGCCACAGGGAGGCCACACTCCGCACCCGCCATCCCTGGGTGATGCGCCACGACTTCGGCAGTGGGAATGGGACTCTCAGAGCTTTCACGGAGAGTGCCAAAGGGCTGGCCTGGGAGTGGTGTCTGTCTTTACCTGGGCTGGGATCCAGAGCTCAGCCTGTTCTTACAGATGTGATTTGTCTCATCATTGGCAGAGGACCCAACCCAAGCTAAAAGCTCTAATGTCAGTTTCATCAGCAGCTAAGCACAGGGGCAGGGAGGGTGGCATCAGGACAAGCAGTGAGCCAGGTGACAACTCAGGCAGCAGGAAGAGGTACAGATATGCTCGCTTTCCTTCCTTAGCCCTCTGTTCTGGACTCCAGAGCTCTGGGTCAGGGGCACTCCAAATGTACAGAAGCTCAGAAGGAGGTGACACAGGGTGCCCAGTCATACATACCGGAGTGGTCAGCTCTGGTGTAGTTATGGGGGTGCAGGAGTTATTCAACTTCATCCCACTGCCCAAGTCAAAGTCACAGATTTTCACTGGAGACACCTGAAAAGGAAAGCGGAGCGTGAAGGTTACAAATACAAGAAACCAATGGCCATGAGGAGACCACGGTGACTATGTGGGTGCAGTTATGTGGCTGCCACACCCCAGCCCAGCTTTACCTGTCAAGTCATGCTTGCTCTCCTCGGGTTAATGAGGCATCACCTGAGGATTCATCCTACGGTGTCCTCTTCCCCATGCCCTTGCCTATTTCCGACTAAGAGAAAATGCCTGCACTACAGGGTCAGGCTACTATGAATTGAGTATATGACAAGCAGCAAACCTATGGAACTCTTCATGATAAACAAAAGTTAGAGAAGTTAGTATGTATTCCTGACACACTCCTTGCAGACCATTCGGTGGAGGGCAATGGAGTTATGAGAAAAATAACCCTTGGCCATCTCAGGTGGCTTAGGTGGCCAATTTGTCTTTGCTTGCTTGGGACTTTGTCGGTTTAAGCACTGTAAGTCCTCCTTCAGGCCAGAGCCAACCGGGATGGCTGGCCTGAGACCACACAAAACGTGAGTCATCTCTGGAGCCACGCAGAAGGGTGGTTTGTGCGCACGCAGGAGAATGGCCTGTGTGGCGGAAGCAGCACAGAGTCAAATGTGCTGGTTCTGTGAGTCTCAGATCAGACATTTACCTCCTGGGGGAGCCTGGACAAGTCCCAACCGCTCCTCCCCTTCTTTCCTCCCTCTCTTCATTTTCCCCTCCCTCCCTTTTCTTTCTCTTACATTCTTTCTTCTTTTCCCTTCACTTAGCCTCTCTTTTTTATTGTGATGAAATATATATAACATAAAATATGCCATTTAAATCATTTTAAGTGTACAGTTCAGTGGCATTAATCACACTCACACTGTTGTGCAACCATTACCAGTATCTGTTTGCAAAACTTCCCCATCATCCCAAGAAACTCTGTGCCCGTTAAGCCGTAACTCTCCATTCACCCCTCTCCCCAGCCCCAGGAACATCTAATCTACTTTCCATCCCCATGAATTTATCTATCCCAGATATTTCACATACATGGAATCACCCAACATTTGTTCTTTTATATCTGGCTTATTTTGCTTATATAATGTTTTAAAGGTTTACCCATATGGCAGCATCTATCAGAACTTTATTCTGTTTCATGTCTGAGTAATATTCCATTGAACTAGTATGTATATACCCACATTTTGTTAATCCATTCATTTGTTGATGGACACCTGGGTTGTTTCCACGTTTTGGCTATTGTGAATAATGTTGCAACAAACACTGGTGTTCAAGTTCAACTCTGTTTTCAATTCTTTTTTAAAAATATATTGTTATTGATTTCACAGGGGAAGAGAGAGAGAGAGAAACATCAATGATGAGAGAGAATCATAGAACAGCTGCCTCCTGCAACTCCCCTACTTGGGATCAAGCCCACAACCCAGGCATGTGCTCTTACTGGGAATCGAACTATGACCTCCTGGTTCATAGGTCAATGCTCAACCACTGACCATGCTGGCCAGGCTGTTTTCAATTCTTTGGGGTATAAGCATGGATGTAGAATTGCTGAGTAGTATGGTAATCCTACATTTAGCTTTTTAAGGAATTGCCAAACTGTTTTCCGCAGTGGCTGCACCACTTTACATTCCTACCAGCATTATACAAGGGTTCCAATTTCTCCACATCCTTATCAACAGTTGTTATTTTCCATTTTTTAAATTATAACCATCCTGCTAGGTTGTGAGGTGGCATCTCATTGCATTTCCCTAATGACTAAGGATGTTGAGTATCTTTTTATGTACTTATTTCCATTTGTATATCTTCTTTGGAAAAATGTTTATTCAGGTCTTTTGCCCATTTTTTAATTGGATTGTCTTCATGATGTTAGAAATTCTTTTTTTAAAAAATATATTTCACCGTTTTTTTACAGAGAGGAAGGGAGATGGATAGAGAGTTAGAAACATCGATGAGAGAGAAACATTGATCAGCTGCCTCCCGAACACCCTCCACTGGGGATGTGCCTGCAACCAAGGTACATGCCCTTGACCTGAATCGAACCTGGGACCCTTGAGTCCGCAGGCTGATGCTCTGTCCATTGAGCCAAACTGGTCAGGGATAGAAATTCTTTATATATTTTGGATATTAAACCCTTATCAGGTATATGACTTACAATTTTTTTCTCTCATTCTGTGGGTTATCCTTTTATTTTTATTTTTTAAAATTTTTATTGAATTTATGGGGGTAACATTGGTTAATAAAACTATATAAGTTTCAAGTATACAATTCTATATATCATCTGTATGTTGTATTGTGTGTTCACTAATCAAGTCAAGCCTCCTTTTAATCCCCTCCTTGTTTTTTGTTAATCCTCACCCAAGAATATTTTTCCATTAATTTTTAGAGAGAGTGGAAGGGAGGTGGGGGAAAGAGGGAAAGAAAAACATATCATTGGTTACCTCCTGCATGTGCCCCAATGGGGCCAGGGATTAAACCTGCAACCCAGGTACTACGTGCCCTTGACTGGGAATCAAAACTGCAACTCTTTGATATGTGGGCCAATGCTCTAACCACTTAGCCACCAGCCGGCGCTCCTTTACCCTTTTTAAATTTTCTTCATAATGTCTCTCTTAATTTTAATTTTTCAACCATAATAAAAGGGCAACAAATCCATGCCATGAAGATCAAATGAAACAAAGAGCATGAACAGAGTAGTTCAGAGCACTCATGGAGTCTGGGTCAGGCTACCTGAGTTTTAATCTATAGTCTACTACTCATCAGCTGAGTGACTTTGGGCAAGTTTCAGTTTCCTCATTCATAAAATGAAGATAATAACAGTATCTATCTCATGAGATTTTATAAATACTAAATAGTTATAAAATTTTAGTATATCCACATAGTGCTGGCATACTGTAAGCACTACAAATGTTGACTATAATAATTATTAATAATCATAATGATAATAATGATAAATTATATAGTTTAATGCCAGAGTCATTGACAGGAAGGCACAAGATCATATTGGAGCTAAAACATTACTAATCCCCACAAGAGTTGTAAGTACTAAGTTGACTCACATATTCACTCACAGCCATTCCTCATGCATGAGCTATCCCTTAATTCAGACCAAGACACACATGTTCAGACATACACACATGTATACACACACAGAACTATGAATGTGAGCCATCAAAACCACCAGGGCCTAAACCAGCGTGGGCAAACTACGGCCGGCGGGCCGGATCCGGCCCGTTTGAAATGAATAAAACTTAAAAAAAAAAAGACCGTACCCTTTTATGTAATGATGTTTACTTTGAATTTATATTAGTTCACAGAAACCCTCCATCCATGCTTTTGTTCCGGCCCTCCGGTCCAGTTTAAGAACCCATTGTGGCCCTCGAGTCAAAAAGTTTGCCCACCCCTGGCCTAAACCCTTCCTACCAAACACAGAATCTGTCACATTCATACGTGCCGATGGAAATGCAAACACTTGTAGACTGAGTTGAGGGAAAGTTTAAAATAGATGGCATTTGTTCAACACCAAGTAAAAATGTTTACTTTCTAATGGGCAACAAAAAAAGAAACAGAAACTCATTTCAAGAACCTGCTTCCTAATTATCACCTCTCGTGACATATATACCATGATAGAAACATCATTTATAGGCAGAGATTTGCTTCATGTAAGATTAAGTTATTGTTTATGACTCCCATCAACTGCTCGAAAGGTATGTGCACTGGACTAGAAAACATTCATTTTGTGTGGGTCTCCTATATTTTACAAACTCTCAGGATTAAGCCAACCACACTGCTGAAACAGCAAAGAAGGGACAAGGATTAACCCTGGAAACTGCTAACAACCTATACTGAAAGCAAGGTGGCTTTCCCCCATCAGTGCAAACACTGTAACAGCCCCAGTACCTTTTCTGCAGATTCACACAATATATTTTCTGGCTTCAGATCTCGGTGAGCAATGCCTGAAATGACAAAGAGCAAGGAAATAGTTAACATATGCACATAATTATCAAACATTCCACACACAATTAATTTTTTCCAAATGCTGTTGTTCGCAGATTAATTCCCAATTATGGTACATTAAAAAGTCAACGAGCTGCAGGAGGCAGAAGTAACCAGAGACAAACCAAAAGCACCGTTGAATCTGCAAGTCGGTCTGAAGCAGAAGCTTTAGCAGTCTGGCAGGATGAGAAGGGCTAAATGAATCCCAGCCACCCTACCTCTCAGCACTGTGGGGACAACCAAGACTAAGAAACCTAACACGAAACAGAGCAAAGAGCTCTGCAAACAGCCATGTTTGGAACAGCTATGCTGAAATAATGAGTGCCTCGTTTAAGAGCATCTCAGGGGGCTGGGACTGCTCTACCTCATTTCTTCTTGTGTGGCCGATTAAAAAAAAGATCCCGTCAATGGGACTTCCTTCTTATCAAACATTCCACACACAATTAAACAATCTTAAATAATCAGTCCTAAATAAGTATTGTAAACCAAGCTTCCCCGATTCCCTTCTCTCCTCCGCGTATCCGAGACAGTCCTGCCAGAGCACAGCAGAGACTGCTTGGGCCCATGGGTGTTCTTCAGATAAGCCCTCTTGCCCCTGCGTTCTGGCCAGCCCTCCTGAAGGAGACTGCAGATAGTAGCTGAGCACATGAGGGGTTAAAACCTATTGATTGGGCCATGAAGGCACGTGGGGGAAAACCACCTTCTAACCAAAGACAGGGACAAAGACCACTCGCAGGGCTGTGGAATTCTAGTGGTAGACCCAGAAACCTCCCTTTGTCTTTCCTCCTGCAGAATGTATGAGGCAGAGACAGAAGGGCTGCAAGGCTGAGCAAATGTCAAACAGCTCCTGCTTGGAAGGACTGGAGAGCAGCAGAGGATTCTTGGGTAACAGGAAAAAGCAGAGCCGGCTTTACTAAAACTCTCTGGGTGATCCATCTCTCAGGCAGCCCTGCGACTCCCTGGCAGGTGACAGAGGCCCAGCCCACCGGAGGCTCTTCACTAAAGGAAAAACCTGAGCTCCAGCAGGCTCAATGACTTCATCAGTCACCTAATTGAATGAGAACCCAGAGCAACTCAGTCCAGGCTGCACAAATTGAGTCGGGCTGCAGCTCTCCGCACTAAAAGTGAAAGATATTTTCCATTACAGCAAGTGCTCCCACAGAAGGATCATGAGCCACACATGGAGCCTTGCTCCCCAAATAGGTGCTGATGGCCGAGGCGTTCCCCAGCCTGAGAACTGAGGGCCCTGTGTAATAATAGGCCTGCCTCTATGAGCGTACCAGCCATCCAGCTACTCCAGTTCATTTCCCAGAGGTTAGGCTGCAGTGTGTCCAGTATTTAAGAGTATGGAACTTGTTTCCGGGCTGACCCATTCTTGCTCAATTCATCTTCCCGGTGTGAAGTTATTTAGAAAACAGCCAAGTTCAGCTAGAAATCGTTTTTCATCCCCTCCAACTTCTAGGCACATGGGCAGCTGCCCAGCTAGATGCTAACAAGCATTTCAGAACTCCTCAGACACCACCAGCCTCTGTTCCCTTTAGTACATTCTTGAAAAAAAAAATAAATAAAAAATAAAACCCCCTTTACTCCCCTCTAAGGTATGGATCTTGTAAAAAGCGTGACCCAGTTTTGCAATCTATGGAGGCAGCTTGGGGAGCAGTTGTAAATCTTTGTCAGGCAGGTGTTACCTACATGCATCCCAGCTTTCAGAAACAGAACCACTGCCATCCATCATGCTGCAGAAAGCACAGACCCTCCCCTTCTAGGAAATTTCATCCCATGTACAAGCCAGGCCCCCAACATGGTGTGGCCTGGGTGCAGCTCTCTCTCCGGCCACTGGAAGAAGTGGGTTAGAATCAAGGAACCAGAACCTCCACACCAGGCCACACCAGCCTGCACTGTGCGTGAGCAGGATGCCTACAGTGGTCCTGTGTACTCACAACCAAGGGGCCCACATCCACAAAAGTGAAGGGAGCAGAGTGAAGTCACACAGTATTCCCATCAGGTAGAATGCTTTAAGGGAATATTAGGAATAAAAATGCTTTATGCCAGGTGGGGGACAAGGATGGAGGAAATAACATTATTGAAGAACCATGTACTATGTGCCAGGTACTATGCTCCATATTGTATATGTCCACACACATAGGACACACTCAATTATGTAAGTACAGATGAAAGGATTAGAGCAGTGCCCAGTACATAGCAAGTGCTATCTAAGTGTTAACTACTGTTGGTGATACAATTCTCTCCATAACTCTGTGGGATAGGCATTATTCTAGCTGGTAAAAAGGTAAAGCCAGAATTCATTATTTCCATGGCACTGCTGTTTGGCAAATTAAAAAATGTATATTATAATTAAACATATTTATGGGAATGGACAAAAACAGCCAATTTGCAAAAACATTTAATTTACAAAAAAAATTCTTAAATAATCAGTCCTAAATAAGTATTGTAAACCAAAGTGTAATTCAAACACTAGCAACTCTGCCTTTTACCATTGTGAGGTTCGACAGATACCTTGAACTTACCATGTTAATAGAAAAACGCATTTTCCATTTATTGTGAACAAGATATAAAACTACATATATACTATCATGCCAATATAGGTGGTGTATTTTAAAAGACTAAAAGGAATAACACCCACATATTCATACTAGAGAGGCTGTATGAGGCATGGTTTGCCTTCTTCATTAGAAAAGGGAAAGACAATCATCCACATCCACACACCCACATACACCTTATTCAACATGGATTTTATCGTTCTCTTCCCTGCTCTTTCTTCCATAATCCTTATCATTCCGAACAGGTCCTCATCTATCCCATCCACATCAGAAGTCTGGAGGCACCCTGGTTTCCCCCCTCACCCTCATGGGGAGGCCTGCCAGCTGCACCAGCTCTTGGCCCAGCCCCTCTGCCTGGCCTGCCTTGCTCCCTTGGTCCCCAGAGACTGCCTAGCCCAACCCACCACCAAGGCCAAGGCTCGGCGTACCTTTGGTGTGCAGGAAGTCAAGGGCAGCAGCCACATCCTGTACCACGCGGCTGGCCTCGCGCTCGTTGAAGTGTTTCCGCTTCTGGATGTGGGCCAGGATGGAGCCTGGGAAGCAGAGGAACATACGGAAATGCCTTTTCAGTCTTCACTGAGTATAGCTTGTCAGAGGCCAAGTGTCCACAGGTTTGGGTGGGGGACATAGGCTTATTCATTGCTGAAGGTCCAGCACCAAGTGTGGCTCCTGGCACAGAAGAGGCACTAGCACAAAACTGTACTGAATAGAACGGAACTGCTAACCTCTGTACTGTCTATGATGAGTAGAAGGGAGTGAGAACAACTATTTAAATGACCAAAATATTAAATGCCATTTGGCTTCTGGAATAAAAAAGAACTACAAGTGAATCCACCTGGGATAGGGGGCCTCTCTGTAGGAACTTTTCCTCCTTTGCCTCTGACTTTACAGCCAAATGAGAGCATAGCCTACAAACAGAAATGCCACACCCTCACCAGATATGCAAAGATTAAAAAAAGAGAGAGAAAAAACTTCTTTCCCCTGAACTTTTATTATTATTATTATTATTATTATTATTATTATTATTTTGTTGGCAACTTGTTTGAGAAGTCTCTGAGTTTCATGATGGATGATCATCACCTCGGGCCTTAATTAGAAGTCCAAACGTATACTCAACAGTAAAGTACCTCCTTGCAATTTCTCAAAGACCAAGTAGATTTTGTTGGCTAACATTTATTGAGTAGTTGCTATGTGCCAAGCACTGTGTAATGCTCTTTAAATAGATTATCTAAGCCTCACCACAATTGTACAAAATGTATAAAATACAGTTATCCCTATTTTATAGATAGGGAACCCAAAGACAAGAATGGTTAAGCAATTTGTTCAAGATCATACCCCAGTAAGTGGTGGCATCAGGACTTAAGCCCAGTAAGTTGGGCCTCAGAACCTATGCAGACTTCCCCACAGGAAGACCTGTGGCCCAAATGCTGGGCAGATGAGTTGCCCTGGGCCAATCACACTCTTTACCCATTGGATCTGGCTTCAGTAGAGTTGCTCTCTGAGTGATATGTACAGATGACCCAGCGGCATCGAGTATTAAAACATGTAATTCAAAGTACTGGTGCTATTGGGCAGGGCAGGGCAGGCACAGGCACTAGCATATATATGGCTTGGCTCCAATGTGGTTTATGCTCGCTACAGGAAGCCAGTATTTCTGGACTGAAGGTGTCATCCTAAAAGTGGTACATGTTTACTTATTCTGGCTTTGGCACGAACATGAGATTAAAGATCTTTCACTTGCCAGATGAAACAATCAAGGGATCTCAACATGTTAGGAAACATTCCAAGAAAACCAGCTCCAGGCTAGATCACAGGTTCGTCTTGCTGCAATGAGTCTCGTTTCCAAACTTGTTAAAAAGGAAGGTGGAGTGTAACACACTTCTCAGCTAGTCCCCATCGTAGCCAATTGTTTTAATAATATTAACTGCTGATAATTATTAAACCCTTAGTGCCTACCAGGCACTGAGCAAAGCATTTCACATGAATTATCTCATTTAACCTTCACAGCATCCCAAGGAGGTAGGTGCTGTCATTATCCCTATTTTACGGATGAAAGAATACTGTTTGGAAAAGTTAAGTGACTTGCCCAAGGTAAGTGATGGAGCTAGACTAAAATTTAGCTTTGCTGGTTTCTAAAGCATGGTCTTTTAACCATCATAGTCCTCCACTCAGACATCCTCCCTAACCTTCACCTAGCAAATGTGCTCTAGGGTTGGGTGAGTGATGGGGAGGACAAGTGCTTCTCTATCTCCTTCTCTTTGTAAGAAAAGCAACTTCAGCAAGCATCCCGGTGATTGTGTGTGTAGGTGATGGCAGTAGTGGTGATGGTCAAGAATGGCAACATTCTAACTGAAGGTTGGCACGTTCTCTGGCCTCTTCTCTATCCTGGGTCTGTATCCTAAACAATAGGACCCTCCTCTCCCCTGGTGAGCCTTTCTGTACTTCACAATGTATGCAGGAGCTTCCGCCCACAATTAATTGTTAAGTAGTGAATGTGTCAAAACATGGATTGATAAATTGATGACTACATGTATCTATTTACGAGCCCCATTATAATGAGAAGGCATTTATGAAATGCCCACACAGGTGACATTCTAAGCTCTGCAAAATGCTAATTATCATCCTTCCCTCCGGCCTCCCTTCTCCCAAATCAAGGGCAGTTTTAAGTCCTTCATCCTTTTTATTAGCTTGACTCGTTTTAGAAGTCTCTGGGATTCATGATGGATGATCACCACCCTGGGTCTTAATCAGAAGTCCAAACACATACTCAACAGTAAGTACCTCCTTGCAATTTCTCAAAGACCAAGTAAAACCTTGTGTCATCTTCAAAGAATTCAATCAGCTCCAAAATGTTCCTTAAATAGGGAAAAATAGGAGGAAAGGAAAAAAAAGGAAAAATGGTATTATATATTAAAGCCCATTTTACAAATATACAATGAAAAAAAATATACAACGCCCTGTAACAGGGCAGAAATCAACTTGAAATCAGAATGCTTATTAAAGACCCATGTTTGAGAAGCAGCCAATGGTGTTAGCAAGATTCAGGTCACCTTATCTTTCCATAATGTTTAGTCTCTGGTGTTTTCACCAAGTCTGTGCTGTCAAACCCCAACCCTAAAACCCACTAGGTAGAGTTATAAAAAAGTCCTGGTCACATTAAACTGAATAAAATCTGCAGCCGACTGGAAGCAATTGCGGCTAATAACACTGAATAGTAGGTGTGTGTCCTGGAGGCAAGCAGCAAATAATTACTTGCCCTCCCTCTTGCCCATAAATCACGGGGCAGTATTTACATTGCCTGGAGAAAATGGAAACATCTGTCAAATAGACTTGGGGCCTAACGTAGGCACCGCTAGACCCTAACTGCTAAGCGCTGCTTAATGAAACACCGTGTTCCCGGCCACCGTAGCACTTGTGGCCTTCCCCGGTGAGCACTCCTGTCTGCCTGAGCATTACCGTGCTCCGCCAACAAGGTCGTCTTGTAACTCAGTAGGGAAGCCACCAGCCTGGATATTGAAGGTGTTGGGGCTTTTTTTCTTTTAAAGAACGAAATAAACCAAGTAGAGTCTCTAATGCTGAACTCAGAAGCTGCAGGCTGAAAATAAAAATCTGTCCCTCATAAAAAAATGCTGACCACTTTGGGAGACACCAGGCTTTTACTAGTGCGAAGGCGTCCAAATAAGATGGCCAAAATGGCCTAATTTGAAAGAAGATTGTAGAGGCAGTGCCTGGAGTTAAATCAACAGCAGCCCCCATCCTCCAAGCTTAATGACAAAGCCATCAATACCGGGCCACTGGCTCCCTGCTGACCCTACCATGGAGAGAAAGAAAGGGGAAAGCGAAGTCTTAGAGGTGACCCTGATTGAAAGCCACAGTGGGAGAGCCACTCATTTGGAGCTGGTGGTGAGCAGGCTCAGACAGGGCTGGAGAGCACCTTGGCCCAGCTGTCAAGCACAGAGGTTAGACCAGGTCTCATGACCCTCAGTAGTAGCTGCACATATGTAACTATCATAGGAACAGAAAACAGCAGCAAATATTCTTAATAGTTCTCATCATCCTCATCCATTAATCACAGCAGGTTCCTAAAAGTTTCCACTAGGCAACACTCAGGCAGCCTAGTTTCCACAGGCACTTGAAAGAAATAAAACTCGATTTTTGTCCCAGGCATTCATTCAGATTGCTCATTCATCTAATGGGCCTGAATTGCTGATATTTATAGTATTTCAGCCTAAATAGGAGATAGCTTCTTTGCTGCTATTATTTCTCCTATTTTTTCTAAACACTGGAAGACAAGGAGTTATATGCAGTTGTGGGGGAAGAAGTGAGAGTTCAGGTCAGGAGATGGTAAGAAAGAACCTTTTTCTGTGGCCACACATCCCCCCAGAGAAGCAGCAACTAGCCCAACACTATACTCACTTGTTTCCTTGACACTGATATAGCGTCTCCACCTCTCGAAATACCCGACTCCGACTGTGCCCTGCTTGTTTTTCGATGATCTATGAGAAGAACAACATCTGTCAAATATTCCCACCTAAACTCAAAACACCCCTCAGCAGAAGCCCTCTGGCAGAACTAACGGCCAAATTTAGCCCAAGTCAGTTATAAGCACAAGTCTGGAGTAGGACTTGGTGACATAGGCCCTGTGGCTCTGTCAGCAAAGCTGCAGACTGGCCCCAGGGCTTTCCAGCCTGGCTGGGCTGTTTGACTCTGGCCAAGCACGACTCCACGGAAGCTTCTGAGGGCTGTCCCCAGCTGCCCAGGGGAGACTGAGGCAGCCAGCAAGACAAAGAGCTATCTCTATCCAGTTCTTATTCCAAGGATATCTCTTTTTGCCTTTCGGGTAAGAATTTATAAGCTCTCGCCCTGGCTGGTTTGGCTCAGTGGATAGAGCGTCGGCCTGCGGACTCAAGGGTCCCAGGTTCGATTCCGGTCAAGGGCATGTACCTGGGTTGTGGGCACATCCCCAGTAGGGGGCGTGCAAGAGGCAGCTGAATCGATGTTTCTCTCTCATTGATGTTTCTAACTCGCTATCCCTCTCCCTTCCTCTCTGTAAAAAAATCAATAAAATATATTTAAAAAAATAATAATTTATAAGCTCTAATGAAGGATCTCCTAGTGCCGGAGGAAGAGCAAGGGGCAATGAAGGGCCCAGGTCAATGCCACCTCTGCAGTTCATCTGAGAATTTACCCTTTGGCAGGCACTATATTAAGTCATTTAGGCACATAATCTCCTAACCCTTAAAACAAATCCCAAAAGATAGAAAGAGGTAAAACATTTGCCCACAGCTCTGATAGGTGGCAGGGCTGGAATTCAAGCCTAGAGCTGCCTCCGAAGCTCTTGCTATCCTATACTGGCCTGAATCCTACACATCTTCTCTCAAGAGAACCCAGAGCCCTTATCTCTCCTATGGTACTGTGGGATGCTACCCTCCCCACCTGTATTTGGAGATGCTTGGCAAGTACTGACTGAAGGAATGGGTAAGCCAACAGATGAGCAGGTAGTTTACACAGGGAGTGGCTGACTCTGAACATGTCTTCAGACCCACCCAGAGTCCCAAACTGCTGCTCTGCAGAGCTGGCTCTGCTTCACAGTCCCAGATGAGCAGGCAGCAGATGATGACATCCTGTTCCTTCACTCCAAGGATGCTGTGTAGAACACTGCAAACTTCTCCAATATGTTGTAGCACACACATCCATGACCAATGCAATTTTCTAAATAAGTCCATGTCTGTTAGTAAACCTCTGAGCCCGTTTTCTGCACAGAGAGGTGTACGTAGTGCTGGGGCACAGAAGCTACTCAGCTCGTTCTTTCATCAAATATTTCAGATCAGAGTCAGGAAGAACTTTTGAGCAGGCAAGCTATCTAGCAATGGCATAATTTTTTCTGAGGAGGTAATGCACTCCTAATGCTAGAGATGGGGGAGCAGAACATGGTACAACTATCTGAGGAGTTATACAGGATATTCAGACTAGATTATCTTGAAATTTCATTCCCACCCTGAGACTCTAGTGTTTATCAGTTGGATGCTTATAGGGAAAGCCCTAATAAAACCAAATATTCTGCAGCCATGTGGGGAGAAGCAGCCCATCTCTAGGGAGTTTTCAAGGAACACGAGAGACATGGGCAGAACTGCTGAAATCCAAGAATTGCCAAGCCAGGGTCTGTCTTTGCCCAAAGATGCCAGGGGACATGGAGGAAGGGCCTGGTTTTCCTCTTGTGAGCCAACTTTGAAGAAATAGTTCTGTCATCCATAAATGTATTCAGACATTTGAAAATCAATTGAGATTTGCAGTTTTTACCACACTTAAGGCATATTTTTTAAAAAATTACTTGTAATTTATACTGATCAGTTTCCAAAAAGGAATTGAGGCAGTACTTTTGTTACCACATGAAACAATACTCAGCAAAAAGGAACATGGCTTAGCAGAAGTTCTTCCCTTAATAAACCCACAGCTGGGACGATAGCAGATTGGTTAAAAAACACACTTCTTCCAGGAGTCAATTTGGCCAAGTCTGCCCATATGAGGCAGTGCTTAGACCTGGTGGCGCAGGTGGATGGTTTGAAATAAGTCTGAATTGCCCCCTTAGAATCAATAAGACCTGTTTCTAGATCAGTGGTTCTCAAACTTTGGTGGATATTAGAATCACTTGGAAACTTGGTAAAAATACAAAGACCTTGATGCAGGGTCTTTGAGAACCACTGCTCTCAGTCCATCTCTTTTTCCATACGAGGTCAGCACATGAAAGCACAGAGGGGTGAAGTGAGCCATTCCAAGATCACACAGCTAGAAGCCAGCTCTCCTGTCCCACAGCTCAGTGCTTCGTCCTCGTGATCATGATACTCTACATCACTTGTAAGCATTCTGTCATTTGTAAAATGTTTCTACTGATACCAGTTCATTTTTATTTTCACCTTCATAACCAATCCATGAGACAGAAAGGTATCAATACCTTCATTTTGGAGATGTGGGAACTGAGGTTCAAGGATTTTCGGTGACTTTACCAAAGTCAAATAGTAGTAGTTTGTCAAAAGAGATTCAGGTGGGTTGTCTCATTCCAAATCTGTTTGTTTACTCCCTGAAGCTAATTTCATTTGTCAGATTAATAAGAAGCATTAATACTATGAGCCAGGCATTGTTTCAAGCCCTTTGCACATAGTAACTTCTTTAATCCTCACAAAAAATAATATATAGGTTCTATTATTACATCTATTTTACAGATGAGGAAACTGAAGGACAAATAGGCTAACTTGCCTAATGGCACACAGCAAGTAGAGAAACCAACATTTGAATTCAGCAAATATAGCTTTGGAGCCCCAAATCTTACTGAGCCACCACATCGGGGAATATGAAATTTATTTGGTTTAGGACTGACTATGTACAAAGTAAAGCCAGACATCCAGATGAGACACTCACTTTGACAGCATACTCTTGGCCATTCTGCAGGCTCACAGCTCCTTGAACTTTGGCATAGGCTCCCTCTCCAAGCAATTCAGAGGTCAGCTTGTACACATCTAGAGATGAAATGGATGAGAGAAATAACAGGATGAGTCACCCTTTGCAAGTTAAGATGGAAAGAAGAGCTTCTGTTACTCAGCTTCCTTGGTCTGACAACACAGGCACACGGTGACTCCCCAGTGCAGTGAAGAAGAAGACCATTAGCTTTCCTGGCCATTTCAGGACTCAGTTTCTCAACAACTAGATCACATAGAAGACATCCTGTTCCCCATTTTAGAGATGAGGTCAGTGGAAGGGTTTCTATTTGCACACATATTTCCAGAGCACCTACTATGTATCAGACAGCATATTAGATTCACAATAGGGACAGAGCAAGGAATAAAATATAGTCCCTGCTCTTTGAGAATCACAATTCAATGGGGAAGACAGACACGTACACAAATGACCCCAGAATAAACTAGACAGTGGGAAATACTATCAGAGAGAGGACAAGACACAGTAAAAAGGAAACAGAAAAGGGAAAGGTTATATCTATCTGTTCAGAGAATCTGGAGGATCCTCATAGAAGGGGTGTAATTTGAATGGACACCATGCATTCACTTACTCATTTGCTGAGCAACTACTGTGTGCCCAGTTCTGTGCTAGGCATTGGTGATACAAAGGGGAATAAAACCCTGTTTTATTTTATACAACACACAGGGCAGTCCCCAGGATCCTCTCTGGAGGTTTTTGAGAAGTTTCCAGAAGTCACCCACAGGAAACAGGAGACAGACATACATGTAAACGGAAGCCTCGAGGTTTTTAGGGTGCTGAGTCAGAGTGGTTCTCACAGAGTAATAGGCTTGGGTTGAAAGAACATTTAGGTGGCCTGCCCAAGCTCACAAATAGCACAAGCTCTTTGAGCTCTTCCAAAGGAAGCTACAGCGCCATCAGAGTCTCTGCTGGGCTGGCCTCCTTTTCCCCTGGCCTCCATTCTGCGGCTTCTTCCTCTTGAGGCAGCCTAGCACTTAAACCCACAGGCTGAGCAGAATGCTTTTTAACCATGAAATTAGGTTTTATCACTCTGAGTCATGAGAAGCCCTATAATTGCACAAGCCATCCTTGAATAACAGGAACTACTCTTAGATTCATGGAAAGAGTAAGACCTGTTGATTTGGAAATTATTGTAAAAATCATGGTACTTCTGTCCTTCTCTCTCCTCTTACCCCCTCCACCCCAAACACACACATCTACTGACTGGGTTAAAGTAAAACAGACTCATAGATACAAAGAACAGACAAACAGCTATCAGGGGGGAGGGGAGTTGGGGGGCTGGGTGAAAAAGGTGAAGATATTAAGCAGAAAACGAACAAACTTGTAGACACAGATAACAGTATGGCGATTGTGAGAGAAAGGGGTGGGGGGAAGCATAAGATGGTATAGGGGAGATAAATAGTGAAGGAAACAGACTTGACTTTGGATGGTAAACACAATAAAATATACAGATGATATATTATAGAGTTGTACACTTGAACCTATATAATTTTATTAAGCAATGTCACTCCAATAAATGCAATAAATAATTAAAATAAAGAATACACACTGTTGTTTGTAAGTATTTTAAATACCATGCTTTACTCACAATGGACATTTGGTATTAGCCTTTTACACATGTCAGAATAGGTTGGTGGTTGGAAGTCCAATATTCCTGACTCATAAAGGACTGGTCACTAGAACTACCATACAAAACTATCAATTCACTAGTGTATCTTCACTATTGGAAGGAGGGACCATGAGGGGAAGCTATTTCAGGTTTCACAAAAGAAAATAGATGAAGGGGCATGTCACTACTAGGAGTAGCTACTGATCCTTTCAATTCTTTGCAGAAGTGTCCAATGATTCACTTCATCCCATCACATGCCCAGTGGTAACAGGACGAGTGCCTCACACAGGATTCAAAATGTTTGATGACCAACGTTGTGTCCCTTGAACACAACATCCACTCTTAAAACGGTGTCAAACTCAGCACAAGTAGCTGCAATCTCTTGGAGTCAAGTTCTCTGCTTATAGAAGATTGAAGTTTCATTTGCAGCCATGGCCCTCTCTTCCTCCTCCTACATGGTTGCTCTACCTCTCAGTAGCCCTTCTAGGAACAGCTGAGGGAAAGATCACATCTGGAAGGGGCAGAAACACACCAGCCAATCTCACTGCATGTACCACTCTGACAGATTGGTCTTCCTGTCCCTTGACCATTGGGAGGATGCCTGTGCCTCATCCAGGGGCTTTTCTCATCTCTGCTCGCTCTCTTTCTGTCACTCCTTTGAGTAAGATCTTGCACTCCTTCTTTTATCCCTATCACACACATAGCCATGAGCTGGCTCTACGATAACACAGATCCTGTGATCTAGACCCATGGGCTTTTGGGAAGCTCCTCCCATGCTTGGGGAGCCACAGGCCCTGGCCTAAGAGAGTTGCGTGACCAACCTTCAAACTTTCCCAGCAAGGAGTCAGTGGCCCGGGCCTTCCGCTTCTTCTTCTTCCTCTTGTCACTTTCTGCAATAGGAAGGGGTTCACTGCTGCCCATCTCTGGGAGAAAAGTGGAGATGTGAGGGAAATATCACTGTACTGATCAAGCTGTAAGTTCGCCCAGAAGCAAAAACAAAACAAAACAGTGGGAGGGGGGGCCTGAGACCCAGGAGCTTTACACTGATGGTTTTTAAATATCTGTGAGAACTATTGATTTGTTTTGACCCAGGAGGCAAAACTAAAGGCAAAACCATTATAGCAGATCGTTAACTGTGGAAAGAAACTCAGACAGACAGGCTAGATTAAAAGAGGATAGCAGAGGTCTGCTTTAACCAAGCTCATTAGCACATGGATTTAGATCTGCCACCAGTCAAACTATAGCCCCCAAACAGAACAATGAATCCATAAGCAGAATCCCACCTGTGACATCCTCTAGCTTCAGCACCAGAAAGACAAGAAGGAGGGTGTGGTTGGGAGGGAGTGCATGCAAATGAAATCATACGATTAATAGCATCCCTATGTGGATGTGCACAGGGATTTCAAGGCCTTGAGTGGAGATTGCCTCTGCGAAGGTACAATAGGGCAGGAATGTCTACGAGCATAGACGAGTGCCTATGGAGCCAGAGCACACTCTTCCCTCCCTGCTCCTTATTTGAGGGGATACAGGTAGGGTCCATTCAGAAGTCTGCAGTTGACAGGTCTACACCAGGCTGCTGGACGAGGTCATTTATTGCAAAAGCATTATTATCTCTCCCTGGCAAGCACCTGGTGCCCCCTGTTAAAGGGAAAATTTGGGAGACAGATATTTGGACATTGGACAGATTGGGCAGGAAAAAGAAGGGACAAAAAGAATAAGCAGGAGACTGAGAAGAGGAAAGAGAAAAGGAGGAATAATGAGCCAGTACCCAATCGTAGTACTGTTTCTAAGACACTCTAGTAAGGGCCTTCCCCTGGTAAAGATAAATTACTTACAGAACATGTCATGCCCCTGATCCAGAGTGGAGCCTTAATACTCTTTGCCTGCAGTTAGAAATAATAAGATTTCTCTGAAGTCTCTGGGTCTAAATCCCCACCAGGGTGATTAAACCTTTACATCCTTCTAAAATAGAGGCACTCGAGTGCTGATGGGGCATATGGTATGAGAGCTTTTTAGACCAACCTTCAATAAACACAGGCTCTGGGTTGTTGGATTTTTTTTTTTTGAGAGAGAGATTTTTGAAATGGAAGCTGGCTCTTTGCCCATTGAGGGAAAAGGCCCACTTTCTTCTGAGAGGACCCTCCTGAACACGATCAGAGGAAGGGCTCAGGAAGATTGATTAGAGCTGATGCACGTCTTCTATGCAGTGTTCTCAGAAGCGAATACATGACAGCCATGAGGAGAAAGCACACAGAACGACAGCCCTTTTCAACACCACAATCCAGAAAGCATGGTTAGGCAGCCAAGTGTCTGACAGCTCAATTTAGGTGCATTCTTCCTCCCACTTTTAGGATCTGATGACAGAAGATTTTCAATTATACTTTTTTTTTAAAATATATTTTATTGATTTTTTACAGAGAGGAAGGGAGAGAGATAGAGAGTTAGAAACATCGATGAGAGAGAGACATCGATCAGCTGCCTCCTGCACATCTCCTACTGGGGATGTGCCCGCAACCCAGGTACATGCCCCTGACCGGAATCGAACCTGGGACTTTTCAGTCCGCAGGCCGACGCTCTATCCACTGAGCCAAACCGGTTTCGGCTTCAATTATACTTTATAGAAGAGATAACCACAGGGATAAAAGGAATCCACAGAGAATCTCAAAATATTACTCTAGGCGACAGCTTCAAGCACAAGATTCATCTTGTGTAACATGCTATGAATTAAAAAAATTAAACTTAAATATCAGCACCCAAAAATCCACCCTGACCAAGGTATGTTAAAAAGAAAAGCGCTGCTCAATATAGTGAGACATTCCACAGAAATAAAACACAGGATCACTCATCTTCAGGTGCTCGGGGAGGGGGCACTGACCACTGTGACAATAGGCTGAGGAGGGACCACTGTCCCTCTTCCTCTTCCTCTGTGTGCAGTCCAATGTCAACCCCGGTCCCCATTTATTTTCTCACCAGCACTGCAAACCAAGTGCAGATGGGACAGATTTTAGATTCACTTCTCTTTCTCCTTCCCCTGCCCACACTCTGATGGAAGGCCCAAGGACAAGCAAAAGAGCCGACAGGCAGGCAATGTAGAGGAGGAGCCAGAGGGCTGGTGGCATTATAATTCACAGGGGACGCTCAAACATTCTTACGACTCTAGCTAGAAAACCCTGTTAGCCGCAATTTATACTTGGTTTTTACCACAGCAGGGCTGAGGGAGCCTCTTGTGGAAGAAGCATACCTCTGAGCATGGCTGCACACTCAATATTAGATTTTATGGCTTCACACACAAAAAGATAGAGTACCTGGTCTATTCTGCATGGATTTCATTGGAAGAGGGTATGCCAGAAGGGACAAATGGTTAAGACTTTCCTTGGAAACAGACCTTGTTGAAGGAGAGTTGTTTTTAAAACTAGGAAGAAAAAAAAACGTAGGAAGACAGTGAAGTGAAAAAATATGCTTAACTTCCCTGTTTACACTGAAGGAACAGGGAAGGGAGAGGTGTCATAATCTTACCAAGGAGTTGATAGTTTCCTCGCTGGAGCCTGTGTATAGTCTATTTTATCACCGACAGTGGGGCCTGTGGGGCCTTATTTAACATGCACACAATCATTTGAAAAAGCTTCTTCAGAGGGCAAGATTCCACAACCAAACAGGTCCTTGGCTCACCTCCTTCCCTTGGCCTAAGGCAGTGGTCGGCAAACTGCGGCTCTTCCACAAAATACCGCGTGCAGGCGCGCACGTACAGTGCGATTGAAACTTGGTGGCCACACTCAAGGGGCCAAAGAGCCGCATGTGGCTCGCGAGCCGCAGTTTGCCGACCACTGGCCTAAGGATTCTTCTCAGCTATTAAAACTCATCTCAAAAGTCTCTATCGCTTTAAACGAGTTAAGGTCTGTGCAAACTCTGTTAGGCACTATGCAAACAGATGGGATTATTGCGCTGAACTAGAAGTCAAAGCTCCATTCTCTGCTCCCCAACCCTGCTGGAAACTATTAGAGCACTGATTTTATGTGGCCGTGAGAGCTCCCCGAAGTTCCTAAAGGTCAGGACTGCCACCTGTTCACCTCTGCATCTCCTTAAGTCAGACATACTAGTACACCAGCCATCAGAGAACATGCACTGAAATGAAAATGATATAAAATGATGCACACAGGAGGTGTTAGGTATAGTGCATGTTACCCAGGCCCTTTAAGTAGGAGTGCACATACTGAAAGAAATTTGGGTACATGTTTGCCTTTCAGACAACACAGTTTTATGAATTCCCTGATAAACTTCCTCTCAAAAAGAGTGCTGTGAAACTCAAAAGGTTTTGAACTTTCTAGCCCTTGCTACAGGGCTGGGCAATGTGCCTGGTACTTCAGAGAAGGAAGTGAGCACTTCCTTTGTTTTCAGACTGAACCAGCTGGTGTGGAGGCTCCCAGCACTTCCACTGCCTCCTGCCCTTGCCTTCATCTTGGGCAGGCTCCGTGGTCCACACTTGTATATTGGTGGAAGTGGAGCTGGAAAGGAAGCACACTGCTGATAGGGAAGGCACATGGGCTTGGCATCAGGAGAACAAACTGAGTCCTGATTCAGATGGTACCAGACATAGTACCAAGGCCAAGTTACTTCACCTCTTAGGGTCTCAGTTTCCTCATCCACAGGATAAGTTTAAAAATAATGCCCGCCTTTTCCAGCAACCCCATGTGAGAATCCAGTGATATACTTACTATAAGTGTGCTTCAAAAAACATGTGTATGCCCTAGCTTGTTTGTCTCAGTGGATAGAGCACCGGCCTGCAGACTGAAGGGTCCCGGGTTTGATTTGGGTCAGGGCACATGCCCAGGTTGTGGGCTCAATCCCCAGTAGGAGGCGTGCAGGAGGCAGCCAATCAATGATTTTCTTTCATCAATATTTCTATCTCTCTCCCG